CGAACTCCCACTGTTTCATGGCAGCTCTGTCTTTTCTCATCATTCAGTTCTCAAATGTCCAGCTTCTCTAGGAAACATCTCTAAATTAGCTACTCCTCCACCCGCTGTCTGTTGCATTCACCCTGTTTTGTGCCCGTCGTGGTACTAATTATTACCTGAAATCGCTGTTTCCAGCGGTTTGTCTTACCTACTAGAACAGAAGCTCCACGAGAGTAAGGACCTTGTTTGTCTAGTCACCAGTTCATCCAGCACCTAGAATAGTGCCTGGCATATGGCGATACAGTGGGTGTTCAACATGTACTTGTTGAATGAATGTGTATAATAATAAAAATTACTGTAGCAGCAACTTACTGACTGCTTTATCACTAACCTTTGAAATATCCATACAAGGTAGATATAATTAGATCTAAGTTACAATGAAAAAGTGTTAAGTAATTTGTAGAAGGTCACCCAAATTACCTGGGGTAAGTTATTTAACCTCTCTAAGAGTAATTTTTTTTACATTGTAAAATGGCAGAAACAGGAAGCAAACCTAGGTTTTCTTGGCTTTAAAACCCTTATGTTTTGCCATCTCAGTGACTCTTAGAGTATCTCCCTGGTAATCATAGCTTCAGCCACAAAAAGCCTATCTTACTGAGGGGAGTGTGTCAGGAGGGGACAGTCTTGCACCATGACACTGCTCATAAATTTACCAGGGCAAATATTCTCCGCCATTATACACAGAGCCAAGAATGATGAAAATGAAAAGGCTTTCTCCCCTAGAGTGTCTTACAAAGAAATGAATGAATGCTGGAAGGGGACCACATGGCCAGGTTCTAAACAGTATCTTTCCTTTGTGTGGGACACAAGACTAAATGATTGTTAATGTACATTCACACTCACAGTTTGTAAGTCTGTCCTGTATCATCAACTTTAGGAGTCTAGTCTTCAATAAGTAAATATATATATTTATTACTTATTGCTTCAAAGACTGAGAATTGACAGTCAAACTGTGATTTGGAAACCACCCCTGCTGAGTATTGAAGAAAAGAAGTCACAATACCTCCCATGTTTTAACCACACACATTTCCTTCCTCCCACATAGCCTTGTGCGCAGGGACCCATGGTCAACCCTTAACCACCCCAATGCAGCACCCACTAGTCAGAAGGTACTAAACAAAGGTAAGGAAAGATTATGGCACAGTGCTATGTAGGATGCACCCAAGGCATACAAACGAAAGTTCTATTTTAAACGGTGAATGCACAGCTTCCTGGCAAACGAGCATATTTTTCAGATAACATCTGCAAAGAAGCCAGAGAGGTTACTTGATTTCCTGTAAGCCTGGGAGAATGTGATTAGGTATGATGGGACTAAGGATTGTGCTTTCAACATACACACACATAAACAGACACATGATACTAAGCAATAAAACAAAATTTAAAACCCTGCTGGAATTACAAAAAAGATAAATGAGGATAATTCTTGACTTGACAAAAAGTAGTTATGACAGGCTCCCTTTAAGTTGTACTCTCTCATAATGTACACTTAAATACTGATGCAATTTACAAACTTTTCCAGAAACAGACCTACTGCATACACTGAAGTGCATCTACTTTAGGAGGCCATGAACCAAAATTTTTTTCATCAGCTTCCTCAAAGTTGCTCTGAAATTTTGTAAGCTATTACTGAAAAGCACCTATGCACCCCACAGCGTGCCAGAGTATCGTTCCTCTTCCTCCAACAATCTCCTCCATTACACAACCGAAGAATGTCCACATGTTCATCCCACAACACTATACAAGGTATGTCCACGTATGTCCCTCTTACAAGTCAATTTACATCTGTATCTACTGTGGCTCCCACATAACAACCCTTATCCCATTACACTGCCCGTGAGGCCCCCTGAGCACTCCATGCCGAGAAGCGCGTTCTTTCAGGCCTCACTCACCACCCGTTCCCCTACTTCCTCCTTATCTTCATCCATACCATCCATACCATCTTGGTCTCTTTTCACTTCTTGATATTTTCCTCTCGGGAATAATCATCAATTTCCTGATGCTCATGAAACAAGAAAAGTCCCTTATAAATAAAATACAGTATTTGAATACTTTTTAACTTAGCAGGAAGAAAAAATTGAAGTCCACGGGTCAAAGAGGCAACTGAGGCAACACTAAAACTAAGTTTCTCAAATAACCTGGAGCTGTCCTAGAATCAAGGAAATGGCATTGAGTTCAGATCAGGGTCAGCAGGCCTGGTTTTCAATCCTACCTCTGTCAATAACTAACTGTGACTTTGGTCAAATGATAACTTTTAGAAATCTCATTTTCCATATAAATGTTTTCTAGTAAAATTTAAATGTTCATAATAGTACTGTTCTGTCTCTTCACAGAATTTTGAGATAAAATGTGAAGGCATTTTAGAAACTAAAGATTGATAATCAAAAATCCCTTGTACTTATTTTAGAGACAATAAAAATAATAAAAAATTGATACCAGAAACATAATAATGAGTATGCTACAAGGGGGTTGAGAAAAAAATAAAAGAAGGAAGGTCTAAAAAAATCATTATGGACGCCTGGTTCAAAACGATTTCAGCACACTCATTTAACGCCCTCTCTGATTCCCGCTGAGATGACCAAAGGAATGAAAACAGGGGTACAATTTATTAGTGCTGGGAAATGGGGATGAACACCACCCACACATAAAAAGTAGAAACCATTTCTCTAACACAGTTCAAGCAAGGCCAGGCTGAGGACAAGCTGGCCAACCCCTGTGCTGTGGAAGTGCCCAATGGAAGAAAGCAGAAGAGGGTAAACCTCAATCCTACAAGGCTCCTTCACAAAACTTATTGGGTGCCAGAGCCCAGAGAGCAAGAATTTCAGGGTGAGTGTACACTCATCCTAGACTTCATGCTGAGTGCCCGCTGAAGCCGCCTCCACGTTACAGAAATTGTCTCAGTTAGAGATGAGGGAACGCTGCCCTAGCCACTTTTGGGCTACCAAAACAAACATATGAAGGACACTTGGTCAGTTTCTCAAAAAACAGAGCAACTGTTACAGTTATCTCTTACAACTCTCTGGCTATCGTTCCACAAACACCTGGAACCGAATATGGCAAAGTAAGACTAAAGCTTCTCCTTTAGTCGAAATAAATCTAAAGTTCCCCCTTCTCCCTACATTTAGACCTGAAAGGCCTATTTAGAAGCTCACAGCATAATCCAAACCAGACTTCTCTCTGTAAGGACAATCACAGAAAAATCATAAGACTTCCTGTGGAATAAGAACTAATGTCCTCCTAGGAAATGGCATTACTGCAAAAAGGAGAGAAAACATTAGAATATTTTTATTGTTGTTTTGTTTTTTTTTTTTTGAGACAGAGTCTCACTGTTGCCCTGAATAGAGTGCTGTGGCGTCATCATAGCTCACTGAAACCTCAAACTCCTGAGCTCAAGTGATCCTCCCACCTCGGCCTCCCAGAGTGCTAGGATTACAAGCTTGACGGCACCTGGCCTATTTTTTTTTTTAGAGACGGCATCTCACTGTGTTGCCCAAACTAGTCTCAAACTCCTGGCCTCAAGTGATCTCCCGCCTTAGCCTCCCAAGTTGCTGGGATAAGAGGCGTGAGCCATTGCACCTTGTCCAACAGGCCCAATTTTATTTGGTGAGCCATGTGGTTCCTGGGAAGCTTGCTCAACCCAACTCCACTTCTGGCTTTAAGCCAGGCAAGTCAGCACACTCCATCTCCTTGGTCACAGTGACAGGTTTAGGGACATGCATGTGACCAAAACTAGTTAACTAGAGTGAAACTTCTGGGTTTTGCTGGGAGAAGGACGAATGAACCCAGGAACAGCTAGCAGACATCTTGGACTATGTGGAGAGTGAGTCTTTAGAAGGAAACCAATGCCAACAAGAAAGGAGGAGGAAAGGCAAAAACACACCCAACTCCTTGGAAGCAGGGCACTCTGTCTCTTTTGAGGCCCAACCTGCTTCTAGGCTCATCAGTTAGAAGAAGAAATATATTCCCTTTACTATGGCAAATTGAGTTGGGGTTTCTGGTACATGTAATTGACAGCACATCACTATACCATGTGTCCCTAATTCCCCAATCCCAGAACTAACAAAGTCAAAAGTAAGATCTAAATTATAGTTTTCAATCCCTCATGTTAACTTAAAAATAAACCTTAACAAAGCTGGCTATAGAAATGGCATACATCGAAACCACATAAAACAGAGAGCATCAGTTCTTTAGTCTATGGCGCTTCCAAGCTGTTGAGCCTCTTTGCTTCCAGTGGGACAAATAATGGTCAAATGGGCCCTTTGGAAAGGAGGCCTGCAGTGCTGCTGCCGTCAGGCAACTCTGATGGCATGTCCCTCCTGTCCGACACCACTGCAGCTGCCCAACTCTATCTGCAGCTGTGGAGAGGAGGGACTGTTTGCTATTCCTCACCTGGTCTGGGAAGTGAGAAGCCTCACTCTGTATCAGTGTATTCAGGGAAAAAAAAAAAACTCATAGTTAAGTTAATCAACATTCGAAAGCATCATGTCAACAGAAAATTTAAGCAATAAACATTTGTCATACTTGATTTATCTCATCCATATACATACATATATAGAAAAAAATATGCTCATATTTTTGGCTGCACTATTCCAATGTATGTTATAGAAATCTTACCCCTAAATACTTTAACATGCATCTCCTTGGAATAAAGGACATTTGTCTATAGACCTACAACATCATTACCACATGATAATTCCTTAATATCAAATATGTAGGTTATATTCAAATTTTTCCACCTGTCTCAAAAATATCTCCTATAGACTGGTTTTTTGAACCATAATCCGACTGATGCTCATACATTACATTTGCTTTTTATGTGATCTTTAGCCTCAACCTGGGAAAGAAAATAAGGCTCTATACATTTACAGCTTCCAAAATATTCAACACATTTCACCTGGTCAAATGAGACATTTTCCTTTAAGTCTGACTACTTCCTGGGGAAGATTCCTAAGGGAAAAACCTACCTGGCGGGCTGAGAAGCTGAAGAACTTCAGTGTGTTCCATAGCCTGCAGGAAGTCGCTCAGTTCCGTGACTGTACAACCTTTTTCACCCATTAGCTTCAGCAAACACAGGCTTGGGCTCCCTTCAGGCTCCAGTACCTTGAGAGAGCACTGCTCCAGGTCCAGGCAACTGAAAGCAACAGATTTAATTCCTGTCAACAACTTTCTTCAATATGATAGGCCTGTTATGTACCTAGACTGCTGTAGGTGCTACAGGGAATAAATCACGAGTTGGTGAACCATGAGAAACTCTTTACATTATGAATACTTGTGTCCTTTCCTCCTCCTTCCTATCATAGGGGATTCCTCTCTATTGCTTTTTCCCACTCAGCTCCCATGGTTATTAAATCAGGAAAATGAGAGAGAAACCTTGAAACAGGATATGAGAGAAATTCAGCCTTGATATTGAGAAAAATTTTTGCCTTTAATTTGGGAATGTGGGATAGGAAGACGAGACACACTTCTTTACTCCTTCTTCCAAGAGGATAAAGTGCAAAATGATCCGAATCCCATGAATTCATTAAAAAAATTGAGGCGGAGGCATAGGTCTTAATGACATTGAAAAAAACGAAAGAATTAACACACAAAACAGTGTGTATAATACACTGCTATTTCTATTAACAAGGCAGTATGTCCATGTGTGTATTCATATTTTTATTACCAAGAATATGTGTGTATGTGTGTGCACGGGTGTTCTTACACACACGGAGCAGGGAGAGGAAAACTAGGAGAGTTCATGGCTGAATGATTTTTCACCATAAACCCTTTTGTACTGTTCAATTTTTTACTACGTACATTAATTTTTCAACAATTTTTAAAAAGTAAATTTAAAAAGAGAATCAATACTATTGACATTTGAAGTACTTCTAAGTACCTACAAATACCGTATCACAGGGACAGGCAAACTATGGTCCGTGGACTAAATGTGTTCAGCTACCTGATTTTTGTAAATAAAGTTTTACTGGAGCACATCTATGTTCATTCATTTACATATTTACATATGTTGATGGTTGCCTTCCTGTTATAACAGCAGAGTTGAATAGTTGGCCCGCAAAGCCAAAAATATTTACCATTTGGCTCTTTACAGAAATAGTTTGCTAACAACCCCTGCTCTAAAGGATCTTTACATTCTGTCTTATTGTTCTGATAAAATTATTCTTTTTTTAGTATCAGCATTTAATATACATATACAATTTCCTTCTCCATGTTATTGTGTGCACTAGTGGTATACAAGGTTAGAAAGACAGGTTAAGATCATATTATAGAAGGCCCTAAATAATGGGATGATATGGACTTCAGTGATTTTACAGAAAGGTAAAGTATGAAACATTCGAGGAGAGAAAAAACAAGTAAGCAAAAATCGAACAATCAAAAAAACAAAAACTTTCCCAAAGAAACATAACCAACAACAATGGCCAGCCAAGTGTTTAGATAATCACACTACACCCCCCTTTGCAGACCCTGCTCCTTTCTCATCAATTTGAATTACAGTGCAGTACAAACACTAGCGTCTCTGCGGGGTCCTCCCAGGCCACACCAGTCCCCCAAACACACTTTAGACACAGTCTCCTTCCTAACTGGGCTTATTTTATAGAAGAGGGGATGGCAAATTGTTTCTCTAAAGGACCAGAAAGTACATATTTTAGGCATTAAGGGCCATACAGTCTTTGTCACATATTCTTCTTTTTTGTTTTGTTTCACAAATTTTAAAATACAAAACCAGACTTAGCTCATGGGCTGTACAAAAACAGGTAGCACCTGGATTTGGCCCTCAGGCAATTGTCTGTTTTATCTGACACAATTTAGCTTAAAACCATGAGCTTTTCTTGATGAGCACGTCTTCTCTGTGCAACTAGATTATCGTGAACTTGAAAACAGAAACCCCATCTAACATATATATTTAAATCCCTCAATACCTCAAATCCTATCTTGTTCATATTAATTATTCATAAATGAATGATTACTGAATGAATTTCAATCATAATGGAAAAGGCTGGAAGACTGGGTTGGTGGAAGGGGGCAAACATAACAGTGCCACAGCTGTGGCAGAATCAAGGTCAGCAACCTTTCTTATTACTTGAAATGCTCTTAATCCTCATTCATTTTGATCAGTTTTATTAAAATGCTGCCATAACATTTACATTGTCATCCAAGATTTATAATTCTGTGATAATGTTAATTACCTCACATGGAAAAAATGCATTCAACCAAATTAATTTCAATAGTAATATTATCTACCTCATAGGCTTATTAGAATTAGATAATCCATGTAAGAAATTCTTAGCACAGTGCTTGGTAAGTAATAAACACTCAATAAAGGTTAGCTCTTATTATACAATAAAAATATGGGGATATTAAAAGAATACTAAGGTTAATTTCTTAACTATG